AAATTATTTTTTTAAAATTTAAAACTACATGCATGCATAGATTTGCATGAAATCAGTTAACCCCTAAATTCTGACAGCCATATCTTCACTTGGAATGACATTACTGCTGGAATGAAGACATTGGCACTAACCTTTAAGGGAAAAGTGTTCCTCAACCATGCAACACAGTAGAGAAAAGCCATCTCTCATGTCCTCACAGAGTTATTGCCCCACTGAAGGGACATAAAGGAGGGTCCCATTAACAAACCTCAATCTGCAAATAAGCATGCATAGGGACAAGTGCTTCTTCCATTATCAATGTCCTGGAAAGTTGTTGGTTGGGCTGATAGCCAAGGCAAGGGGTAGTCCCCCAAACCAAGTCCTTGTTACCACTCTGAAGGTAAAGCCAGCGAAGAGTCAAACATGATCCATAGGTCAAGGGTTGCAAAGTAGCTGGGAGGCAGGGCAGTCAGAAGTCCATGGATGCAGAAGTCTGAGAGTCATCAGTGGTCCGAAGGTCAAGGATACTGAGAGTCCAGGATAGTCAAGAGTCAGGGTTCAAGGCATGGAACAAGGAGAGCCAGAGACAGAAGCTTTCACCAGAAAGCTCAGATAACTTCTGGTACAGAGACAGCATTTTCACAATTGCTTAAATCCCCAAGCTGCCAGAGCTCAGCTGGGACTGATCACTTTGATTACCTTGGCATTTTTCATAAAGCCTCCTCAAGCACCTGGGGCCCACCCTTTCGGCTCACTGCTGACTAAAGGTAGTCACAGTCCCCTGATCCTCCTCCATGTCTGACGGCTCTGTTGATCGAAGGCTTGGCTGTGATGCAACCTCCTGAGACACCACAGAGTCTGTTGGAGACTCCATGGAAATTGGCAAAGCAGGGCTGCTAAGGCCAGGCTGGGTCTCCTCTTTCATAGGCTCATGGTCTGGAGGAGGTTCTGACTCATCCTCTGAGTCCTCTGAGTCCTCATCCAGGCAGGGCATGACAATCAAATCACAAAGTTATTATGGCTTTGAATATCACCAGCACCCTAAATTCAAAATGAAATTCAAAATTCAGACTTCTGTGATTTATACAAGTTGTTCTTGTCATAAAACTAGCTTCTACATTTTGCACTAGCTGCAGATTATCTTCAAATGGAGTAGCACATAGAGCAAGTTGTAGTAATCTAATTGGGAAGTTATCAGTGCATGAACTACTGAGACTAGCTGATCCTGGTCCAGGAATTTCTATCGCTGGTAGACTAGGCTGGTTCCAAGAGCTCTGAGTCACAGATTCTTTCTGTGAGATCAATCTAGGAATACTCCCAAACCAAGCAGCTTGTCCCTCAGGGGGAATACAACCTCATCTATAGCAGATATCTTATCCAATTCTTTGAATCAAGAACCTCCACCTTATTGGGACTCCAGCCCCTTATAGCCTCCAGGCATGTGCATAGCCACAGGTGATTTTTAAATAAGATATGGTAGAGCTGAAAGCCATCAGCACATTGATGACATCCCAACCACCCCCTAAACTCACATAATAACTTCACATTAATATTAAAAAAGTATGAAAGATAGAATGGAATCTTATGGCACCCCACAGCTTAGTAGCCATAGGGAAGAACAAGAATCCCCCCAGTATCAGTTCTGGAACTGGCCCTGTAGATAGGAGAAAAACCACTAAAGCACATTGCTTTTGACTGCCATCTTACAAGGCCATCTCAGTGAGATACCATGATCAATGATATCAAAAGTCTTATCAGATTGCCCAGGGGTTATCTCAAATCTAATCAATTTTCCCCCCACTCTGTCATCAGCTGTTCCAGATCCCTTTTGTCATTTCCAAAGCCTTTTTTCCACCATTTGGTAGCAGCAAGAAACCCTTGAGGGTATGAAATAAGGTATAAATATCAACCCGAGCTCTAGCCTCATATGTGCACAGAGGGGGGTTGCAGACTGCCAGAAATAGTGCAAATTGAGTCCACTTTTAGGGTTAGGGTTAGGGTTAGGGTTAGGGAATCATGGGGACTGTAGTTTATTGTGGCACCAGAGCTCTCTGACAGAGAAGGCTCAATGTCCCAGAAAAAAAATTCATATGATTCCCTAGCACTAACCCTAACCCTAAAAGTGGACTCAATTTTCACTATTTCTGGCAGTTTGCAAGCCCCCAGAAGTACACACATCTGTGTGACAATCAGATGCTGCCTGAGCTATTTTCCATTTTTCCATGGACCTATCTTCAGGACTGGAATTTCCAGATTCATATCTATCCAGCCTTTCACATCTTCTTTTCTGATAGCCTTGTATTGTTCCTAAGGTTGCATTGCCTTTGTACGTTTGTGTGCACTTTTGCATATTTCTAAATAAACCCTTCTATTTACTGAAACTGGAGTCTTCTGTAGTTAGTACTGGTACACACGGGTGAAAAGATCTCCAAAGCTACCTTTGAGTTATAATTTCCCCCCAAATTCTAAGGAGACACTGACACTGCTTGTGGAGACCCTCACCTTCTAGAATAACAAATCTCTCATGGGCATAGATTGCCTTGGTTGGGAGAGCTACTTGTGCACTTCTATATCATAATGCTTTCAGAAAGGTTGTCCTATCTACCCAATAAAGAGGCATGTTCTGTCTTTGGAATGCTGGAATGTTTAACTGTTATGACGATAAAATTAACCAATAAGATCATACATCTACATACAGAAAGTGGCATGCAAAGCAATTAGATCATCCAACATAAAATCTGAACCTGTGTATATTAATACTATGAATATGGATACTTTAAGGCTACATCAACCTGACCTATATTATCAGGTTATTGTAGGAACTGGGGCTGCATCCACACTGCAGAAATAATCCAGTTTGATACCACTTTATCTGCCATGGCCCCATGCTATGGAATTCTGGAATATGTAGTTTTGTGAGACTTTTAGCCTTCTCTGTCAGAGAGCTCTGGTGCCCCCACAAACTACAGTTCCCAGAATTCCATAGCATGGAGCCATGGCAGTTAAAGTAGTGCCAACTTGGAATGTTTCTGCAGTGCTGATCTAGCCCAGATCTGAATGAAAAATCCATTGTAGTTTGAAAAGTACTATAGAAAAGGAATAATGTGGTGGCAGAAGAATGTTATAGACTTTAAAAAATCATGCCACTCCAGATATATTTAAAGCATTTGTTTTCAAAGTACAGCTGAAGTTCAAACTTTTTTCAAGAGGGGTGGGGGCAGGGATCATCACTGAAAATACCAAACTTTCAGATCCATTGACTCTGTTAGCAATGATACCAAAATGTCACTGTCAGCAGGGTATATGGGAACAAGAGAGCTTCTCAGTGGGATTTATAACTTCTTATCAAGAGAAGAAAGGAGAACTGAGACCATCCATGTTATGTCAAAACAGATGGAGGTTTCCTGGAATGCCTTATTCACTGTAGGAACAATTTTAACTGTCCATCTTTGACACTTTCCTGAATTTCAATTTCTTTAAATGAAATACCATTCTACTTTCTATAATATTTACCAGGTAAAAGGCAAACATTCAGTAAATATTCTTTTGATGCCTAGGCACCAATTTTCAATTTCACTTATATAATTTAGGCAGAGCAATGATCCTTTTCATGTGTACAGAAATGTATTAAATTGTACCATACACATTCTTCTTAGAGTTTAAAAAAATAAAATATACACACACATATCAGAAAACTGCTGCTGATACTGAGATTACTATTTATTGTCTTAAGTTTGGCATGGTGTAATTTATCTTCTTTCTTTCTGACACTTAGCAATGCCATAAAGTATTTAATTCCACTTCCTCAGCATGTCTTAGCTCAGAATGGTATTGTCAGTGAAAACACATCCTCATTTACATGCATTACCTTACATATAAGCATATACATACAAGTCTACAAGAAATAATTTCCCAAAAATCTTCAATTTACAATGTGACATATACAATTTGGCATGACATGAGTAAAATGAAAACCACTGCTTTACTGACATGTACACAGAAAACTGCAAAAATGGTATGATGCAGTATTATATTCAATTGGATGAAACCAATTGAGCTTTTAAGTTTGAGGAGAGTGTTCTTCATTGTTGCATGCATTTCTTGTAATTGACAGGCTGAATATAGTTCAGCATTCAATTCATTTTATTAATGATTTTCCATTTGCATCCCCCCCCCCC